TACAAAAGGCTGCAATATACCTCTTTTTGATGATTTTTTTATATTAAAGAATCCTACGATGCTCTAACTAGTCAAACACAACATAGTCATGTATAGTAGAGTTAAACAGGATCATCATTATTAAAGATGAAAAAGAAGCATACCGCATGTTCACGTTGTTTCCTCATTTCCTGAATGGTTTCAAAAGTTTTGTCTCTCTTCTCTGTAATTGCTATTAGTTCGTCCTGTAAAACATTGATCTCTTTATCTATAGATGCTTTTTCTTCATCAAGCTGGTTAAGCTTGGCATTGACTACTTGTTTTTCCTTCCAAACTCCATCAAGATCAACACCTATAAGCTACAATCAGACAATTACAAGCATACAGTTACTCGCTAATGCATGCTAAAGTCGACAAGAAATGCTTTTAAAAGGCATCATAATGTGTGAAATTTTATATAAACAGCATCTTACTTTGACTTGGTCCTGAATCACTTCTTTTTCACCCAATGCATCCTGGATCCTTGCCCTCTCCGCAGAATTTGCAATAACCTTGTCCCTTGTCCCTTCAAGTTGTTTAATTTCCCTGAGGATTTGCTTCTCTTCACTAAGAGGAATGCTTTCATGCTGAATGCGATATTGTAAACTTTTGATCTAATTAATTTCAAGATCAAGAGAGACGTATTAGATTGAAGTGTTATATGAAAGTAAAAACTAGACGTGGAGAGCACTTCAAAAATTATACACATTCATGCACAAAAGCTTACAAGATCATTGAGTTCTTCCTCAGAGGAACATATTACTGAACCCCTCTCTCTGCCTCCATTAGGAGCACCTCGCAACTTACCGAGAGCCTGCTGCAGAGGTTCCATTTCCTTTCTCTTCTCATCCATGATCGTTCTAAACTGTTTGTTCTCGACACTTAGAGACCTTATTTCAGAAATTACCTGGGCCCGAACTGCCTGCAAGACACACTTCGTGTGATTCAACATTCTCCCATTCCAATGGTTTCCAGCCCAAATCAGCACGCCAAGTAAAGAAGTAAGACAAAAATGACACAGAAGAAAGGATAAAAGGCAGGCATCCATGTATAGCTCATAGGTTTTCCATTCCACCATAACATATCCCTTCAGCGAAAGAGAACAAAAACAGAAGACTATATTTTCATCAAATGATTTAAGCCCTTGTTTGAATCCCATTCTTCTAAAAATTCATTTTTTCAAAACTCATTTTCAACCACAAATTCTTCAATAAAATAATATTACGTGCAAATCCAAAACTTTTCCTCAAAAATGCATTATTTCC